TGTAATCGAACACGCCAAAGCAGTCCCACGTGCTCCACGATAAAGTTCACTTTCATAAAACGCGGGTCGCAAACTCGATATAGCCGCAGACTACCTAAGTCCATCAGCAGTGGTATATCGTGCAACACCCTTCTGACGGTTGGTAACGACGTACGTGCCTTGCTAAAAACCACGTTAGCAGTCCAGTGATCGTTCTTGCCCCCTCAGTTGGACAGGCTGCCAACTCTCGTTAATACGGTGTATTGATTCCAGCTAGTTGTTACCGGATAGGACTCACTTCGTACCCCAGTTAATTATTTGGCAGCTCCTGCAGGGCATCATATAGCCGAGTGGAACAATTTTCATGCCGGGCCACTAGGCCCTGTGCCAAGTACGTCGCATCACTTGGTGCAATATGGGTGTGTTTTCTCTTGGGTTTTGACGAACGGCTTCCGTCTTGTGACGTCACAATCGTTGAGTACTCATGCACAGAGATAGTTAGGACGCGATATGCATATGTGCCGACTACATTCCTGTGCTCTAGGACTGCAGCAATACCGTGGTCAAGGGCATTCGTGATCGAAATATTTATTACTTGCTACTACGGTATCAGGGTTTGGTGCACCCAACGACATAGCACTTATGAGGTCTTCCAGAAAGTTGACACGTTTATTTAACGTTTGGACTGGCGAAATCTCTGAGTCCGCTAGTCTTTCTGGCGTTTTTATTTTGTGCTTTTACGCAGTTTAATTTTCCTATGATTGCATTCAAACTGTCCCCCATCCGAATATAGAAACCACACGGCAACTATAGGGACTCTGTCAGCACGCAACTTGGAACACAGGGAACTTTGCATTATTGGAATAATTTGTTGCGCGTAGTTACACATGTAGAGAATTCAACAGAGTTTCGTAGATGTGAGCTTGTGATCTGACTCACCATTTACTTCAGTCCGCTAAAATTAGTCTATGCTATTTCACACCACCAAGTAATCAAAACGATAACAAACCTGGGATACAAGAGAGACTTGTAAAATTGGGACAACCAATCAAAATTAACGTTTTCTTAAATGAGGAGTATTTATGTCAAGGTTAGATGTTTCTATGCGATGTAATCATTGTATTCCGCCAAATTCTTGAAAATCCAGCGCAGAGTGCACGCATGCACGCCGGTGACGTTTGAGCAGACGATGGTTTCTTTATTAGCAATATTCTGATGTGACAGCATGTATCCGATGGATGCTCACAGAATTTCAGTTTTCGACAATACGTATACATCCGAATTCTATCTGCGAAATGAATCATTAGATTTGGGCGCGTTGAATACACTTTACCCTAATGTCTCACCTGGCAGGAAGTGTGCTGCATACCGCATGGTAAGGAACTGGTAATCCAAATGTAATCTGCTTTGTTGGTTTATTTGAGCATAAATCCCATGGCACACGTTGAGGTAGTATAAGGGCAAGGAAGCAAACATCTTATCGGTGCTTCAATGAACTACAACTGGAAGAATGAAGGTGCCTTCCAAATGCACATTAAACCCATTTGAATGCAACAGTCATGCAACAAAATATCGCCGCCCGGGAAACCCTAAGGAGGAGCACCGTTTGAAAGTGTACAGCCACTCGCTGCAAAAAAGTGAAGAAGATTTTGTTGCCCCGAAAATTTAAAAGAACTACAATCTAAAATTTCCAGGTGGGCGGGCAACATCTCGATGGAAGTAAGGTGTTTTTGAGGCAACCTCGTTATCCTAATCCATCCGTTACTTATTTCCTCAATGCCTCGAAATAATTGATGTGTTTGGAACGTTTTAAGCCGAAATAGCCATCGTAAATACAGATAAAACAACATGCAGGGTAAAATTCTTCGTAAATAAGGACGAAGCCTCACCTTTTTAAGTTACGAACCTACGAATTCGGACACACACATCGTGCCCTTCTACGCTCACGGATTCACGGGTTGGTAAGCAGAATCGAGGCTTTTGCCCAAGTTTCGCGGGTCACTTTTGTTTATGTCAGTCGGTAGCTGACGTTCACCTAGAAGGCAAAGTGAAAAAAGGCGTAGCACTGATCTTTATGTACTCAGTGCGGGGCAGTATGCTTGGAAGCAAGAGGATTTGCATTAATAAGTGTCTAATAGTGCTTTAAACTGGGTTCTAGAAGGAGCGTGAACAACCATCGGCGGAAGGTTATTCCACCCAGCTACTTCCCGAAATGAGAAAAAATTGTCTAATGAGTGTGCGTTCTGTGAGCTTGAAAAATTTTCTTACTATGCCCCCGCCGTGTGCTTGCTGGGTCAACGGTTAAAAACCTGTTTGCCAAGCTTTGTTCAACCAGCGCACAAGTAAGAATTAGGTCACCTCGGAGGCGTTGGTACTCCAGGGGAAAGAGATCAAGTATCGCGAGACGTGTTTCGTAGTCCACGAATTTGAGCCCACCAACCATTCTAGTAGCGCCTTGCTAGACACGCTCAATGAGGGTGGCGTCCTTCGTGCGTCATGATTAGACGACTTGGTTGGTGTATTCCAGAAGCGGTCTGACTTAGGTCGCATAGAGTATTTTGAAGTTCATGCGAGTAATACGGGAGAAGGTGCGCCGGATCATCCGTAAAATGCCGAATGCCTTTAGTGCCGATTTCTCATGGTGCAGTGAGAAGGACACGTTTGAGGGGACGAAATCCTTTTTGGAATTCATCCTCATGGTGTTTTCTTTCTCACCATGTATGACAAAGGCCTTCGCTGCGTCTCCTACAAACGACATATGGACGCACTTTCCATCATTCAGAGGAAGGTGACAGTCCAGTGACCACTGCTTTGGAGCGTGTACATCCATTTGTAGGGCATTGGCATTGGAACTCCAGTCTTTCAAGTCGTCCGCAAAAAGTAGACATGGGCTCGCAAGAACATCTGGGAAGTCATTGACGTAGATCAGAAACAGCACTGCTACCAGGACGTAGCCTTGAGGAACTCCAATGTAGACCGCCGCTGGAGAAGAGTAGGCCGAGCCTATTCTCACTAGGAATGATCTGTATGATAGGAACGCCTTGATCCAGCGAAGGATTTTACCTTGAATCCCGTAAGATTCGAGTTTGTGGAGCAGCGGGACGTGTGGGACCCTACGAAATGCTTTTGAGAAGTCGGAAAATGTGGCATCCGATATGGGTCCTTCCTCCTTGGCTTGGGTTAAGCTGTCCATAAAAACGAGCATGCTTGCAACGCAAGAGCGGTGCGGGCGAAGTCGGNGTCCGTGGTGGGCTGAAGATATCAGGTTCGTGGAATTAAGGTGATCTGGGATAGCTCGCTTCAGAATGCGTTCCATCACCTTGCACGGCACGCGAGTAAGGCTTATAGGCCTATAGCTGCCAAGCGATAATCAGTCACCAGTTTTGTAGATTGGCGTGACAATCGCTTCCTTCCAAGCAGAGGGAAGGCGAATTCCGTCAAGCGACTGGCGAAACACCAGGTAGAGATAATTTGCCAGTGAAGACGACGTTTCCTTCAAGATCCTTGAGTGTACCTCGCCGGGCCTGAACCCACAGAATGGGTTGATCTTTTGCAAGATTCGACGAATGTCCTCCACTGTGAAGACCAATTCGGTTAGAGGTTGTTTGTAGTTCCGCCTTGACAACAGTGGAAGTGATGAGGACACTGGGGCTGAGTATAGACAGGCATAGTGTTCTCTGCAAACCTCAGGTACCACTGTTGGGTCATTCGTCGGTTGTCCGTTTCTGTCCCTCAAGGATTCAAATCAGTTTTCTGCCAAACGGACCAAACATTTGCGTTACGTCCCTGTGTCGTTCAGCATCAATCACCACTGTGTTATAACTAAGGTCAAAAATGGAACATGAATGACAAACAATTTACCATTTACTACCTGTGTCCCGGAAATGACCAACAACCGGTTGCAGGAATTACTAACTATTATTCAAGCGTTCAATCCTAAACAGGTGTATAACGCAGGAGAAGTATTTTTTGCAAATGGAATTGCTAGTATTTCCTCGGGCACTTTTTTATACACCATGCCTGCCCGTTAATCAAGCATTTCAATTGTGTTAGTTGTGTTGATTTAGTTTGGCATGAGGAGTATTTTATTATTAGAACGAACGGCAAGTGGGTTATTTCTCCAAACCTAAAAGCCGCAAGTTAATCCTTTGGCGGCGTCATGTTTAATCAATTCACGCTAAACGTCGACAGGTTAAACATTTGGAAAACGGGTATTGTGACAGCCACCTTACCTAAAAATTTGAATTTTGCGCCCAAACCTGACTTATGATTATCGCCCGCATTTCCGGGATCCTCTTGATTGTTCCAGAAAATATGATTAGGCTATAAAGCCTGCAGTGCAATTTGTTGTTCGCAGGATATCGAGGCAAGATACTTCTACATCAGGAAATGAATGCAAAACCAAATGATAATAGATCTGGTTGGTTATCCCCATCAAATTTTGATTTCCAATACATTCTTACGCGCATGGTTTTCATTTTAACGATAATGCGTTTTAGCCTAAAGTGTCTTCTCTTTTCGGCAAATTAATCTCCACAGGTTGAATTTCAAATATCATTTTCTTTTTGCAAGATAACGGAAGTAGACAAACGTCTGCACATATCGGAAGCGCGCTGATGTGAGCGAATTCGTTTGAGCGTTTAGTCGTCAGCGTTGTTTGTTGGATCTTAGTAGTGTGGCCAAGTGATTCATGTGGAGTTGGCCACCAAATTTAACAGTGAGACCGTTGTTCTTTTGAGGAATCGAATGAGCACGAATGTCGTCAGAGGATTAGCCCGCTCTGACTGACAACTATATTGGATTAGCTTATCACCGTACTCTGAATAATTTTTTAATTCGCACTGGGATTTTATTTTCCGCGTTCAGAAAACTACATTCTTCCTGTGATGCGAGACCACGTAACGAATGTTATGTTGTATATTTTCAACTTTATACGAGCAGCACATCTGAGTATTTTTCAACGTGAAAATCAAAGTTGCAAAGACCGAAATCGAGATATAATTTGAGTTACTTATGAGTAGTTAAATAAAAAACGGACCAAATCCACCGATCGCCGGTGGCCTTTGTGGCCCATATTTGGCTGAATTGATTGTGCCACAAACCACAAGCGTATTCAATGTAAATCCAAGAACATTTTCCCCGTTATTACCCTGTTCAAGAGAGAAATATTTGCAGAACGGTTTCGTGTTCGTTTGGAGAAATCACAAACTTATTTAAGTGCACATTCTCGTAGCTCCCGAGTTGGATTAAAACGTCATTATTTTCCCAACTAAAAGACACCCCATGGATACCAGGGTGATCATGAGCTTTTGAACTTTGCCAAATCTTGGTGACAATAGAGACCATGGAAATTCGTTTTTTCTACTCGGCCGGCCCGCATTCAGTCCCGGTAAGGTCAAATTTTCATGGGTAACAGGCTAAATTCACGCACGTAAATATAAAAGATCGAATTAGGGGAAATTTATATTCCATAATGGGCCGAAACAGACTTCATCATAATGCGCAGTGGCAAAATGTGAGAAGATAGGAAAATAGGAAAACACACTAACACAATTTCAGGCCGCTCAATTGAGATTGGTGGAAACATTGACGTAACAACTTTGAACTCCACCACCCATCTCAGCTACAGACATGTTATCAGTCGACTTGGTTGCGAAAAACATCAGGGATTCCCTTTTTAACTTTCATATAAGTCCGACATTCCGTTCAAGGTACACGCGCTACGACGGCATTTTTGCAGTCAGATATCCAAATTCCAACGTGCCCCTCTCATTTTGTCTCAAGACTGCAGAAGGCCCCAACAATTCCGCGTGATAAATAATTCATCAGTGCTTTTCAGCAGTACTTGTAAACACTTTATGGTCATCAACGGTGACATGATGCAAGCCATTATGTCGGTCTATAAGCCATGTAATCTATCCTCCCGGGCACCGAAATTAAATTGTTGGTTTCGTCCACAGAAGACTCGATCAAGTGATTTATACCGTCAGTGCTTGGAAACCAATGGAGTTCCAATTGTTCGAAGCCGCGGTAGCGATCTCGCAGTGAGCCTAGTGAATACTGTCGAAAGCGAGATATCAGGTAGATCAGATTTCTGAAGCCAAAGGCACAATACCTGAGATCTACTGAACACAAGCGACCCTACATAATTTCAGTCGGTAATCGGCCAATTACTCAGACCTGTTAGTCGTGTTCAGTGCACTACAGTAAGATACTCGCCCTTATGGGGAACAGACTTTGGAACAGTGATGCGAGCACGGATTCATCAAGTCACCCAAAGAAAAAGACCAACATGCGATGGAAGGCACCTGTGATTTGCTGCTCCAGTGCGACTTTCCGGATGGTTCGTAAGGTAAAGTTTTGACTCTGGATTTTGTAGTAGCTTCCTTGTGTGAAGATCACACATTTCTCTCTTAGTTTGACGAAATATGCACTTGGAATCCGGATGAAATATCTGTCATATGCAAGAGTGCAACACTTGCTAGCTTTTGCTTGCAGAATGCAAGTTATTTATGAACACACTTCTTGTAAGTTACTGAAGGTCATTTTGACTGTTGGTAAATAAGTTCACGCAAGAGTATCAAATGAAAGGACCTCCGGATTTCTCGTTTCCAAAAGGAAGCATTTAAACCACCATTTGGTTCCCAAGTTACTGACGATGACGTCCAAATATATGTGTTTTTTTATCCACCCCTCGTCATATCTGCTTCTGTTGATATCTATCTCTTGTTTAGGTGGACCGACCTCCATATTGACTGGCCATTTTTCCCTTAGCCACACCTCCAAAACTATCTTTGGAACAACAGAAACATAATGAGTATATAATGACCTAAGCCGATGTTCCTCTTATACACAGAATTTGAAGTACTGCGCGGACAAAAAAGCGAACCGGCCGCCAAAACCTTCAAGTTGATACTTCCATCGTAACAGATAAGTCTACATAAATAATAAAGTATTATTTCAAATAAACTTTGTAGAGACATGTATTATTATACCAACCTCAGTGATAAAATGTCCTTGGAGTTTTTCATTATGCGGATGTCTGGCGCACGTGCCGCTCAAAGAGCAACAAAATGGCAACTGATTTTCGGTAGTGTCAGGTTCCTGAGCGCCATTGTGTTTCAACCAATAAAACGTGCTTACGAAAAACGCGGGACTAAACTGGAATGCGACATAAAATGGTGCAAGTAAAACAAGGGACAACCTGCGTCTGGGCGATCATCACAATGTGGAATCCAAAGTGATGTGTTGCAAACCCCGATGAGCTAACAAAGATAAAATTTGTGGGTGGTACGCAAATGGTCATGAGAATAGTTAGATGAAATGGGGTTTGTATCAGTCGTGAAACGGCAAAATTCTATCCTGCGGATAATCCTGTGAATCCACAAACAGTTCATTGGAAATGTCAAAAAGTAGCAATCCTAGTGTAAATAAAGCAGTAGTTTGTCATCGCGCAACGGGACGTACTCAGGTTCGCACGTAAAAGTAGGCAGATACAATCAGCTATCTGAAGTTAACCGACTTTTTTTGTGTCGAGTGGCGTGTACTAATTATCGAGGAGGTAAACATTCTTTATCGGGATCGAACTGTTGGTTGTAGGGCTCACAAGGATCGGCTGCTTAATAAGGCAGGCACAAATATGAAATGTATGATTTTTAAAAATAATGAGGATATTGCTGAACATTTCATCTAAGTCTAAAGATCGATGATTAACACTGTAGAGGACTGTCCACATCAAATTCCCCTGTCTAGGCTTTATACTTCACATCTTTTGTGATAGGATTGTGGCCTAGTTTGACGTTGCGTTAAATTGGGGATCATGTAGTTGTAAGAAATGCAACGAAAGATGCCGCGCGTGCAATAACAAGATGGAACATCTCTCTTGACCAAACTAACAACTTTACTGGACGATAAGCTTCGACATATAATTGTTGTGACCGAATGATCTATCAGGGGAGACTCCTGCTAGCTATTTGTGGAAGCCCTGGGAGCAAGTTGTGAGAGGCTATGAATAGCCTTGTGGACAATCATGTGGTGTGACTGATGCGAAATAAACGAAAACATTCCGACACTCATTCCATATTTTGGGTGTTTCGGCATCCGTGTATTCAAGAATGCGTGTAATGCTGGGATGTGAATGCAAATGCAGAAAAAACTCTGCAAAAGTTGGCATCACCGTCTTTTGCTCTGATTTTGGTCGCCCCATACGCAGATAATTACGTCTACGGCACTATCCGCGTCCATTAGTCGACTCATATCAGTTCGCCGGGCATTATGCCGCGCTCAGTGGGAATATGCTTTGTGATGGAAAGCAAGCTTCGCTTGCTGCTCCGGCGCAATTCCACAGATGATTCGGTAGGTTATTATTAACTCTGCCTTCTGCTCTTGCTGCCTGAGGCAAGGATACAATATTTCACTTCTCGATTTGCGCAAAGATGCCTGAGCTATGGGACAAAAGGCTTGCCTCACCTGCCCTCGGTGACATCCATCTCGACCACTCCTATATTGGCTGTCCGTTTTCCTTCTAGCTACGCTCGTATGTACAAAATGCAAGTTGGTACGCAGACAAGAGAGCGAACCGCCTGTGGAAAGAATGGTTGATGATGGCAAATCAAATTTCAAGTCATAATAACTCTTCAACCTTGCATGAAGGCGTACATACGTTGGAAATTTTAATTTCAGAGGAAGAATGTTGAGGCGTCGAAGCACGACAAGGGTAACTCAATAATTGTGATTCAATGGCCAAACAGGAAAAACTTTCTACCACCTATTTGATGTTGCCTAGGAATCGGGTTGTGAGAAGCCATGAGTTACTTTGTGGAAAATCAGGTGATGTGATTCTATTCAAATAAACTACAAGGTTCTTTCGTTTCATTTGTATTTTCGGTGTTCCAGCTTGCTTGTAAAAATTTAAGATTGATTGGTGTAAATCTTAGGTGGGATTTCTTGGCAGGTACACTCTTGAATAGTCCAAGATTCCCCTGGGTATGGACAAACCGCTCCGTTTGATTAGGCTAACGTTACACACCAAGCGTTACCGTGGCATAGGGTTTTTAATAAGCCATAAGCGTATGTCCGCGATAGCGTCTTTCATGCCGAGGTTGTGCAAACTAACCAAGCGTTTATCCTCTCGAGGGTTGAGATGAACAACAAGGAACTCTCGTGGGTTATTTTACGAAACGCTGTTTGAGATTTTGGTGATTCAAACTACGGATGGGGCTACAAAAGCTAAATTTCAAGTAAAATACTCTAGTGGTGTGGACCTTCGCTTAATCAGGAAGCTTATACTACGGTGTAAACCAGTGGACTCTTGAGCAGATGAACGCAGCTTATGCGCTACTCAGATTTCAGCATTCATTGCCAGTTTATAAGACGTGCCAGAAGATTGAAGATCTCACTGGTTCGGCATCAGTTGTGTTTTTTGTACCTACGAACAAACAACCTGGGATGATGGCTCTTGAGTTGCGTTTAGAAATCGAGCACCGCACAGTTATCCGACCACTCCCTCACCATATCCAATTGAAACGTCTGACGAGCGTGATGCATTGGTAGCTACAGTGCCAAAATTTGAAGGAACATTTGACACAAACCAGAGAGACATTAAGTCACATCGGCCAAATGTGGCTTCTAAAAATGAGTGCTGTATTGTTTCTGAAGGACAAGTGCAGCAGAAATTCTTACCCAAATCATGGCCATTATTCACTCGGGCCTTGAGGACAGCATTAGTTAAGACTGATGTCCGACTACTGGATTAGGTTTTAACAACCATAAACGCGCTCGACCCTCCAAGGCTGAATGATGTGTTTTACTCAAAAACACTACAAGGTCCGCTAAAGTTGTCAATATTTCGCAAAAAACTCGAGCAAGTTTGCTGTGATTGAAGTGGAATTCAGCTCTGGTAGTCAAAATGCAGTTTATCTGATTCTGTCCGAAAATAGGACATCTGTATTCTTCATTGGTGCTGGTTGACTGTTGTTCTGTTTGATTCTCAATATTTCCTCACTCGTCCATGGAAGTGAATGCTGATGGTACTTAGGGCGTTTGAAAATTTTACCTGCCGGCAGAACGTATCTATGTTACAAGCATTATTACACCAATAGCCAAAGAACCCTACTTAAGATTTCGTCAAGCTAGTGACATGTCGATTTCA